CTCCCTCCCCTCCCCTCCCACTCACCCCGCACTCGTCGCCCGTCAAAATGTCGACGAACAGCGGCCTAAAAGCCATATCGCCCGTCCCGACCGCGGCGGATTTCCTGGACATAGTGTTGAGCAAGACGCAGCGCAAGACGCCGACGGTGATCCACAAGAACTTCAAGATCTCGCGTATCCGGAATTTCTACATGCGTAAAGTAAAGTTCACGCAGGATAGCTTTGACGAGAAGCTCGGGGCGATTCTCACGGAGTTTCCGGTGCTCGACGTGCGTTCCCCTCCCCCTTCATCTACTTTGATTACCCGAGGTTAATGGTGGAGATGGGGATAGAACCTGCACCCGTTTCTGGCGTCGCTGATGAACGTGCTGTACGACAAGAACCACTACAAGCTCGCGCTCGGCCAGCTGCGCACCGCGCGCCACCTGATCGACCAGGTCGCGAAGGACTACGTCCGCCTGCTCAAGTTCGGCGACTCGCTCTACCGCTGCAAGCAGCTCAAGCGCGCCGCCATGGGCCGGTGCGTTGCGTCCCCCTCCCCCCTCCTCCTCTACATCATCTTATCTACTGAGGCTGACGGACGGCGCGACGCAGCATGGCGACGATCATGCGCCGCCAAAAGGACCCGCTCGCCTACCTCGAACAAGTCCGCCAACACATCTCGCGCCTCCCCTCAATCGACCCCTCAACCCGCACCCTGTTAATCTGCGGCTACCCGAACGTCGGCAAGTCCTCCTTCATCAACAAGATCACGCGCGCGGACGTCGACGTGCAGCCGTACGCCTTCACCACCAAATCTTTGTTCGTAGGGCACCTCGACTACAAATATTTGCGGTGGCAGGTGATCGACACGCCCGGGATCTTGGACCACCCGCTCGAGGAGATGAACACGATCGAGATGCAGAGCATCACGGCGCTCGCGCATCTGAAGGCGTGCGTGCTGTACTTTATGGATCTGAGCGAGCAGTGCGGGTATAGCGTCGAGGCGCAGTGCAAGCTGTTCCACTCGATAAAGCCGCTCTTCGCCGGCAAACCGGTCATGCTCGTCATCAACAAGATCGACGTGACGCGCCTGTCCGACCTCGATCCCTCCGTGCGGGCCATGGTCGACGACATCGTCTCCACGTCCGACGTCCAGCTCGCTCAAATGTCAACATTCACGGACGAGGGCGTCATGGACCTCAAGAACCGCGCGTGCGACACTTTACTAGCCCAGCGCGTCGAGTCGAAGCTCAAAGGCGCGAAGATCAACACGGTCTTGAATCGGATACACGTCGCGGTGCCCAAGGCGCGCGACGAGGTCGTGCGCGCGCCGTTTATACCTGAGGGCGTGCAGGGGCGGAAGAAGTACGACCGGGAGGATCCCGGGCGGAGGCGGCTGGCGAGGGACGAGGAGGGCGAGAACGGGGGGGCTGGGGTGTTCAATATCGATATCAAACGTGCGTTCCAGTCTCTCTCGCTCTCTCTCTATCCATATACATTCTGGTATATTTTATATTTCGAGGCTGATGAAATGCGACAGAGGATTATATACTCGCGAACCCCGAGTGGAAACAAGATATCATCCCCGAGATCATGGACGGCAAGAACGTCGCGGACTTTATCGACGCGGACATCGTCGAGCGCCTAGAAGCGCTCGAGCGCGAAGAAGAAAAGCTCGTCGCGGAGGGTTATTACGACTCCGACTCTGACCGCCCCCTCTTCGACTCGGACGACGAGCGCGACCGGGCGGCGATCGGGGAGATGGACCGGCACAAATTGCAAAGTCAGGAGAAGAAGCGGCTGAAGTCTACGGCGAGATTGCCGGCGAGCGCGAAGGTGCGCACGATAAGCGAGCTGGCGCGCGATCTGACGAGGGCGGGGCACGATCCGAGCCGGATCGAGGAGCGCGCGGCGGTGCTGGCGAAGGCGCGCGGCGCGAAGCGCAAACGCTCGCCTTCGTCTGACGACAGGATGGACGTTGACGGCGCGGAGTTCGCTTTGGACGCAGATGCCGATATGGACGTCGACCAGGACGGAGAACCCACGTCCGCGACAAAACGCTCAAAAACAAACTCCGGCCGCGCCCTCTCCACCTCCACAACCAAACGCGCACCGAAAACCGACCGGCAAGCGGCGGGCCTGCGCGACGAGGAGCAGGCGCGCCGCGCGACGAAGCTGCGCAACTTCGACCAGAGGCCGCGGAATTATATGGCCAAGGCGGGCGAGGCGGACCGCAAGATCCAGACGAAGATGCCGCGGCATTTGTTTGCGGGGAAGAGGAAGATGGGGAAGACGGAGAGGCGGTAGTGGGTGCATCTGGTGGGTTGGGGTTGTTGTACGCTCTGGGTCGTTGTCGGTGTTCGTTCTGCGTGTTTGTGGGTCTGTCATGTACTTCTCGTCTTTTCTGTGCTGTCTACTCAGACTCGTTTGATTCTCGATTGTAGACGTCGAGCGCGTTTCTTCCCCGTACAGTACATAGGGCAGTAAGAGAAAGAATACCGAGACGGCTCGGTCGGGAAGGGTCCCCGAAGTCAGCCCGATGTGGCGCGACGCGCGAGGGCCGAAACGGGTCCTTCTTGTGCACTCTCCCTACCCTTCGAGTGCATACATACTCACGTCTGAAGTCGCCAAATCTTGTCCGAGAACTGTGTACTACTTACAGCTGAGTTACAGTGGGTAGCCAGTTGTGGGACGCTTGCTCTCGACGGCCATCTATCGCCACATGCGTATACCCCGAAGAAAGCCATGCGCGCTCATTCTACCGTTGATGACGACTCGAGTTGAGATATATGCTAGCATGAACCCCGTCGCGCCCTTGCTCAATCGAGACTGGACTGAGGCGGCACCCGCGGAACCCGCGTCGTTGAGTTGCTCTTGAACCACCACCTGCGCAATCGCCTCATACGCTCGCCCGGATAACCCCATATCCTCGTCTCGTAACGATTGAATAGTCTTCATTCATGGGCTGCTGCTACGCACTAGAACCACTACCCTGCAAAGCTCCGGCACATAGTTGGTTCGCACTCGCAGTCGCTTTTCGGCGCGCCCGTCTATTCCACTCCGAGAAATGTAGACCCAGCTTTGGCCTAAGCCCGACGGTCTAAGCGCATAGCCGAACTCACGATCAAGCGCACTTCGGGCCCTTCGCCGGCCAAGTTGGTATTGGCGTTAGGCTTCAACGTCAACGCGGTGCAGACCCTGCAAGACTCAATTGCGAGTTCAAGCGCAACCTGGAATGCAGGTCCACCAGTCATTCCGAGTCCTCCGGGACCGTTAGACGTAATGGGCGCCTCTCCTTGTGCGCTCACTGATGGGTTTATACGGAGAGATCGGTGGTGTAACTCCGTACGGGGACTAGGGTGCAATATCTTAATCACGACTGCGGTATAGATGTTGCTTTTGGTCCCCCATCAAGCCTTTGGTCCGACGTCGCGAGTTTGCTCTCTATGTAGTCGGATCTTCCGGAGTCTACATGACGCTGGCATGTTTCGGGGATACGGATGCTGCGCGTTCCGTGAGTGCACTGTCTGAGCGGCATGGCCATTACGCTGACTTGGGCGAATGTCTAGCTGTTGAGTTGATGCCTTAAACCTGCCGGCCATGTCTGCGCACGCTATGCCATCTGAGATCTCTGAAGACGCAATTTGGGGTGGACGTCATCAGTCATACTCGTACGGTAATCTTCGGCAACGACATGGCTCGGATGGTTGACGGCACGAGGAGAAAGCTGGGGTTCGTTGAAGGAGGTTGTCCATCTTCGCTTCCATCAAGCGTGCCACACGGTCTCTGCTTCTCGTCAACATCTTGAGCCCTCATATCAGGCCGTATGTCTTCGTTCAGCTTCAGACAGTACGCCTCAGAACTGACTCGGGAGTTCTTACAGGGTTTTGTGCAGGACCGTCATCTGATCCCCAAACCCCCAACAAAGCACAAGCTACGACGTGCTGCGGTCAAGAACCACGCGGCACCGTCTGCATCTGTACACTACACCTCGCATGGACGTCTGAGGGTCATGTATACGATTTCAACGACCCTAACGACGCTGCCTTGCCACGACCGAAGTATAAAGGTTGTGGTTGCCACAACCTTGAAGATCATCTCTCTTCGTCTTGCGACTCCGGCATTCTTTCTTCTTCCCTTCACACCGTCGAGTCGTCTTCTTTCGCCCATATCTATTGCATCAAGATGTTCAAGGCTCTTGCTCTCGCTGCCGCAGTCGTCACTGCAGTCTCAGCCGCGGTCATCCCTCGCGCAACCGTCCCGACCACCGTCGGCGCGGTTCAGACTGGTGGCTTGTGAGTGATCAGATATCATCGGCTACCGATCCGTATGCTGAGGCTCTTACAGTGCTACGTACTACTATCAGTACGGTGGCTACGGCGCCTGCGGGAACATCAACCCCGACAGCGCACTGATCGTTGCCATCCGTACGTCTGCACCGTCACGCTCGAGTGCGACTTCCCACTGACTTCACCGCTTCTTTCTGTAGAGTCGGCGCGTTACGACGCTTCGCTGTGCGGACACACCGTGTCGATCACCAACGTCAACAACGGTCTCACTGTCTCGGCCACAGTCGCGGACCAGTGCCCGGGATGCGCAAACTCGGAGTCGCTTGACCTTTCGGTCGGCGCGTGGCAGGCTATTGGGCAGACCGAGGCGGATGGTGCTGAGGTGCCTATCACTTGGACCCTCGTCAACTAAGCGAGTTGATTGGTACCGCTCGAAGCCTTGCATCTTGCCTTCACGCTCCCTTCAAAACCACGAATCACTATGGGTTTGACTATCTATTGGTTGCGCGTTTCGGCGTTCCTCCCTCCTCCCTACTTGGAATTCTACGTCGGTGTTCTCCTTCAGGTCATCCGTTTCTTGGGTTTACTTACGGATCGTCGATTTGTTACTGGAAGCGCCTTGCTTTGATTTATCGGAGCTCATATTTATGTTTACTCACTTGCATGTTGTATCGTGTATACTCAATCACACTCGCTGCACTTTCTATTATTTCACGTTAGTCGTCGATTCTCGATCTGCACGGTTAAATCGAATGGCTGTTCGACACAATGGTTGAAGTTTGTCAGGACTGAGCTGCGGCGCTGCGCCATTGCTGCTATAGCACGACCCCAGAAGATACTCGGTATCAATCTGATTTTGTGTCCTCGATAAGGCATCTTAGCCAAGTGGTTAAAGCAACAAATTCGAACTTCAAACCGTTCCATCTGTGGGGGTCCCTTGATTCTCCGCATTCTGTAGGTTCGGGAGCGCGCAATGGACGTACACCATCTTTCCAGCATCTATATTGATTTTTAGCAAGACACCGTGATAGTCAACAAGGAAAGCAGAACCGGGTCGATAGGAGGGGTACAATCAAGTAGCGACTCACGGCTTCTCTGAGTGAGCACGACACCGTCCAACGTAGTCGCGTACACCTTGTATATGCCGCCTTGGGTCGAGACGTCTGGTGGCAACTTGTACGTGTATTCCGCGCAGGCTAGTCCGCCAGCGTATGCGTTCTCGTCCTGGAAGGGACGGACCATGCCGCTGCCATGCAGGCCGTCATCCAATGCAAAGCGGAGATCCGCGTCCGCATCAGAATCCCGACGCCTCGCCCTACTTGGATGAAAGTCCAGGATGGCTATCATGCGTGCCGCAGATACTAATTCCGGTGAATTCAACACTTCTTCATTGAGGCATTTACGCCACAATGCAATGCGCATCCCCGTCGTATTCTCCGAGCTGCGCCAGTGTATGGAATACGGTACTGGAAGCGCACGTAAAACGACAATGCGCGCATGTGCAGCCCACTCGTCCCATTCGAGGAACCGAGATTGTGTTTCGGAAGAACGAGCGCGGCGGCGAAGGAATTCGCGCAATCTAGGAACGTGAAGGCAGACGAGGATATTGTCCTCCGTGTACTCGATGACCGACCGATCGAGATTGAGGGTGATGGGACACCGGAAACGCCAATGGTCGTAGAAAAGTCGGTGGTCCTGATAGGTAGCTGCGACACCGTCCATGCGTCCGAAGACCCCATCTACCACAGGTTCGCGTCCTGAACGCTCGACAGTTGCATCGTTCCACTCATCATTCAATCGGGGCAGTCTGAGCGTGAACACCGTCGTGGGTTGGTCATTGTTGAGGAGATGGACTTCGTACGAAGGCGCCAAGGGGAAATTGCTGGGATCTGTTTCGAGCCTAGGGGTCTCTGCGATCGGGTTTCTTGCGATAATCGACATATCGTCGGCAACTAGTACATGGTGAGAACTATGGCCATTCCTCGTAGGCTCAGCGATGTATGGAATCTCCAGGGTCTGCACAAATCCGTCAATGCTACCTCGAAGTGCAGCAGCTCAAGAGGACATGCTTGTACCTGGATCGGCTCCGTAAAGCGCAAGTCCCTTGTGATACGTTTGCCCCCACTCCTATACGAAATCGTGTAGCCGTATGCGCTCCAGGATCGTGGCAGCATCGGGTTACCACGAAAGCTGCTCAAGATAGTCGCATTGACTGAGCTCAAGTCCCACACGTTAAACGTCCATATACTGCAGACACCGATGAGCATACGGATTTCAGCTTGGCAGAATACCCATATACGGGATAGACACGTACAGGCGTCCTGTCAAGGACAAGGAGTAAGGTTCCGGTTCGTAGGTGATCCCTATCACGGTGTCGGGGTCGTAGTAGCACACGGCGCATCGTGTAGGTCGAGGACCCGGGATGGATGCCAAGAGTAGCTCTCTGGGCGAAAGGTCACCATTCCGCGGTCCTCCCACCTTTACACGACTGATGGTGAGAGATCCATCATCCGCACGCGTTTGAGTAATCCAATATCCGTAGCTCCGTCTGGAAGGAAGCTTGGAAATGCGGTCATAAAGAACGAGTTGTCCGCCTCGACTCCCGACACGCTCATACTCGCGCACTCGTGCCAGTTTCTCTGACACTGAGAGCGACTCGTATTGTTCTTCCCCCACTTCCCGTAGCCCGTTAGCCGCAAGCGTAGTGATGTACAGCAGAGGCTCAGCGGTTGTTGTTATCGAACGCAACCGCTTGCAAGTCTGTGAATGACATGGTGAGCCCGGCGAACGCTGGCAATCATGGCTATCCGAATCTGAAGAGTACTTACCGCCCCACAGGACAGGATAGAGCGAAAGTCGGCGAGATCCAGCGCATGGATGATGGTTTCGGTCGGTAGGGATAGCAACATTAATCACGACTGGCCAATTGGCGCGTGTAAGTGATGTGATGGTCGATGAGAGGCTCGCAGCTCGCCCCCTCAGCGCCTCGCACACGATCCTATGTAATAAGCGCCCAGGAGTAACGTCCGTCTCGCGTAGAGAATTCTGAAGCCCTCCCATGATATTGATAGAGACACATGAACACGCGTCCTTCTAAACGTGTTGGTGGTCGGGGGAAAGATACCCTGTCAAAGCCGCCATTCGGTGCCCGCCGACGGCCTGCATTTCCCACACCTCCGCGTTCATGGTAAGTATTCCTGGATTCTGTCAAGTTTGGGGGGATTGAACGCTAGTCCTCCTCATCCATACACAGCCCTAAGAAGCACGCGGTACGCAAGTTCCAGCTTGATACAAGACCGAAAGTGAGCATTGTTCGACGTAGAGAAGCTCGACGCCGCGAACTAGGCCCCGCGGTAAATTCGGTTGTGAAACCCCGTCGCCCGAGGCTACAAGGTATCAACGCCTCAGTCCGATCAAAATCATCCGCGGCATTCGGTCTGCTGCATACATCAATGTGATACCCCCATTACACGGCCGGACGCCTTTTCCCGAAAGTCGCGGTACAACGAGAAATCGAAAGTTCGGAACGGTCGCGGTTGAAAAGACTTCGCGAAATGATGGACCACAATCCGCGAAACGCCTAGTTCGAGCAATGTTGAGTGATGTTACCAAAATGTTTGTGTACTCCCTACCAAAGTGTTCATGCAATGACATTTCCCAGACAATTTGACTCCCTGCGACGCGCCTTGACGCAATGGCACCTTGAGCTGGTCGTCATGCTGGGCAGTGGCCGCATGCTCTGTGCGCCCGGCTCCCTGTCCGGGTGAGTCAGCAAGATGATGAGGGCCTGGGCAACGCCAGCTTCGCCAGCGACGAAGTCGCGCTTGCCTCTTGACCACCACCATCACCGTCCCGACTCTCCCTTCCTCGCCTCTCCTCGAAGCCTCGCCTGCCTCGCAATGCGTCTCAGCAATGCATCAGGTCTTCCTTCCCCACGCCTCTTGTTCCTATGATCACACTCGCGCCTGACTGGCCTCCCCAAGCCTCGCAGCGCCAAGAATCTGTGAGTCGTTATCACGAACGAAACGGTGAGACTGTTTGTCTAGCGTCTTTGTTGCTGTCACTTACAAGCCTCCTCCCAGCGTCGGCTCTCATTCACCGCCGCCTACACTTAGCTATACGTGCTGATGGTCAAGAACGCCATGTCATCAGGCTTCAAGAAAGGTGCGTTCGTATGGCACTGGTCAATGTGCGGGTCATTCACGACAACCATCTAGCCAGCATTCCTCGTTGTTCATGTACTGGCAGGAGCTGCAGCCTATTTTTTGAGCAGGACCTACGAGGAAAGCAAAGTACGCTCGCGCTTGCGGCTCTGGGATTGCTGGNGCTTGCGGCTCTGGGATTGCTGGGCACATCTTAGGGATTACTAGTATATCGTAGATAGTACTCGTGTATGTACATACCGAATAAATAAAGATTGATGCATAAATACTATGAACAGCGAAACGGACCGGTCGAAAGGAGGAATACCATGGAATATCACAGAATGAGGTGCTGACGTCATGAAGGCTTGGTTGCCACGGGAGGTGCTGCGGGGCTATTGCAAACATTTCGCAGAACGGGTGCATTTCCAAACTGTTCTCTCCGTCTCCCTCTGCGAAATCTCGACAGAGAGTCGACAGACATTTTGGAATCGAGCCCATCGCCAAAATCTTTGCTCTTCCCGTCAGGCCGTGTAATCCTGTGCTGCCTTTCTCCTTCGCTTTGACGTCGATGTCGAACGCTTCCCACACCTCTAGTGACTAGTCCCGCACCTTTTCATAATTATCGATGATACTGCAACATGGGGCATTGGCACATCTCACCATAAACACATACGCGCAGGAAATCATGATCTAGGCTGGAGGATGATGCCTAGGAAGGCGACGCTCAGATGGGAATCATGGGATGGGGAGGAAACTTTGAGTCGCGAAGGATACTGGTACGTCGACAATGCTGACAGGCTCAGATGTATGGCTCTAATATTACCTTCAGTCCGAGGAAGCGTACCCAGACTCTACCTCCGACTCCGACTCGCGCTCTACGTGCTGGGCTCAACGGTACATCGCGGCGGGGGCCTGGGACGCATGGCTAGCCTGCTTGTCGGAGCTGTAGGCGCTGCCGCCAGGGCATGCAATCGCTGCGAGAGATTCCTTAGCTGGCAACTCAGCGGGTTTCGTATCCTTGAGGCTCCAAACCCGAGCGACTTATCGTGGATGTACGGAATCTATTGTCCTCACATGTACCCCTCCTATATAGTCGATTAGACATGCAATACATTATATTTGCGAGTCAGAGGAGTACATGAGAGCGCGGCCCGGCCTTTTTAGGACCGATATGTCGCCATCAGATGAATCGTTGTCCGTCTGTATCACCCCTTCCTTGTCTTTGTTCAAGAATATGCTGTCCAACCCGATACTAGGACCAAAGCTAACTTCGAGCCACTCCGGGTCCTGATGCAACAGGGTCTCGTGCTCGCTATCGGGACGATAACTCCATGAAACATCGCTTCCCGTTCTGCGCATGTGGCTTCGTTCTGCGAACTCCATGTCGAAGGCGGCTGGGAGGGCTGACTTGATGCTGCTCTCGAGTACAGAGTGGCGTATGGAGATCAGTACAACGACGAGGGTAGGATACATCGCCTGCGACTTGAGTGAGCCTTCAGAGGTACGTCGTAGCGGGGGAGAACGCACAATAAGAGGGTTCATGTAATACGCAGATGTATACCAGACCGCTGTGTCTAATCGACCGTACCAGCTGACAACGCCGTACCAACCCTGTCATGCGACCCGCCGTAAATGACTAATGTCCGACGTTCAAAGACTAGTACTCACCAGAAGGGCCAGATAGACAACGCCTGATTCCACGAGGATCTCAAGCATGGCGAGCGAGTGGCGCTTTGATGAGCGATGTATAAACTCTCGTACGTCCTTCCAATGGGCCCTGAGCAATCTCATTAGTTGTACGCCGCAGAGAAGAAGTGCACAGGGCTCACCAAGTCTTATACGCAATCGAGAGCGTGGCTGCCAGTTGCGACACATCTGTCACCAGATACGCCACGAGAAAGCAGGAGTCCTTGATCGAGACTAGGAACGGGTAGAGGACGGAAGTTTGCGGAAGTGGTAGGTAATCGACAGCCAGCGCAGCACAGAAGAAACTTGACGCTACTGAAGTCAACGAAAAGTCAGTACCTGGAAGATACCGTAGATACTGTGTCCGAACTGACCGGTTTCGATGAGCAATATGCTGCCAAAGACAATGTACAGCGATCTTGGCCGACCATAGATAGCGTAGGCGCGCCAAAGAGAAACAACATCGCCCAACACGATCTGCGTCATAGAGTTAGTAACGGCACGCTCAAGATTGTCTTTACTGACCATCATTACTTGCAGAACCTCTTGAGCGTACAGAGAAGGTGACGATGGTCGGTAGATCCAACGAGGGTCTTTTCCGGTGAGAGAGGATTGATGGGCCGGTAGGAGGCGGTATACTTCCGCCCACAAAAGGTACACCCCGAGAGCCCAGTAAGCCGAGAAGAGTAGAAACATGGCGACAGCCACGAATAAGGGGAACGTGAGAAGCGGGACCGCTTTGCGTTTGCTCCTGCGAGGCATTGATCGTCGTCAGAGCGTTCGGCTGGTGCCACGACGGGTAGATTCGACCGTGCGTACCATAGAAAGTAGAGCGTGAGTACGGCATAAAGCGCTGGCGGGATGATGTTAGCCTACAGTGCCTCTCGGGGGGATTGACATGCACGGACCGAAAAGGAAGGTTTGTAGCAGAAGCGGGAACGCGCGCTCTTCCATGATTGCCTCTACTTGGACTTGATAGCTCTGACTAACGTCTGGTGAAACATAGCTGGCCATGGCTGTTGGAAGAGGGTGGTAACACCCAAGTCTCCTGACTACCTGTTTTAGGAGATGTCTGGTTAGTATTCCCCACGGAAGACATCACAATGCCAGAGCGGAACAAAAGATGGCGATGGGCAACCGTCAGATATCAGTCACGAGCGCGCATTGACGGTGGCCAAATCCATGCAAGGAACTTGGTTTGCTTCAGCGGTTCAAGTTCTCAGAGGTCTTTAGATAGCGGACGGCATGACATGTGCCTGTAGTGACGAAAGGCGGTCGGACCCTCTCTTAGATCGAGACGAATAATCGTCGAATGCCCATTCAAAACCGAGCGCTTCTCGATGGAATGCCACGCCCCATCAATGCATCAAGGAGCACCTGGAAAACATGCATCCTGTCTAACCTCATCGGTCGGTCAGGATTAGGCTGTCTTTGGGATACCATCTGACCCGGCGAAGATTACTGAAAAAGCCGTGCTCATCGAGATTGCATGACAGCACGGCCTCTTATATATTACACCGCTTGACCAGATCGCCGAACCTGCCATCTCGATAGACTGTGAGAAAGGTGGGGGAGGCAAGCGGGACAGGTTGAACGCAGCTATGCTGCGAAGCAGAGGACACATCATGCCGAATATCGTGGTCTAGCTGTCTATACGGACTCGGAGTGCGTCAGGGTTTCAAAAGCTATAGCAGAAACATCGACTCGACGAGCGGTTACGCGTTACGCCTGGGCTTCGGAGTCGATTTTTGCTAGACTCACTGCCGCTGAGCGCTGAAGATTTGTTGAGGACCTCTCTTGACAGAGAACAGCAAGGGGAAGTTGACGGTGAGAGGCAGAGATGTACACTCAAATTCTCAATACAACGGGATCGCGGCACGTGGCGCCGGCGCCCGCCGCCGCGAAGACCCCGTCGACTCGCGCCGTCAACGCGTCAACGACGAGACTGCAACCTCGAATGCCACGTCTCAATGCGTCATTCTTATCAGCAACTATTCAACCCAGCACAATTTGCAAGCCTGTGAATCCCTTTACGGCAGCCCCCGCACTGTTAATTAAAGTCCTGTATAGGCATTATGGTCAAGAGACTCATATTAAGTGAGGGCCGAGCTATCATGTCCATCATGTCCATCTCTACATCTACGCACTGTCCCTCTACACACTGGGATGCCAACGAACACGAGGGCTCTCTGCCGGTTCAGTAAGTCTGAGCGCGCTCGCCCCTGCCCAGAAACAAGCTTCTGGGCTTATATTGCTTATTCTGTCAATTCAGGCGCTTCGGCTCAGCACAATAAAAGCGGGGCAATCCCGCTCGCCGCGCCCAGCACAATGAGTAGAAACCCGGCGGTAGGTGCACTGACAGCGTGTACACCAGCACTGGATGAACCTGATGATGCCATTAGTCGTTTCGAAGGTTCACATAGTCGGTAGATCACGCACGCGAGCCAGTACTCGTAGTGGAAGGGCCGGTAGCACTTGAGGCAGCTGTGCCACTTGAGTTTCCCGAAGGGGTAGGGAAGTCTAGAACGACATCTGCGTCAGTACCCTGGCTTGCTCTACCGATACGTGGCGCTCGTGATGAGCACGATGCGTGGGGGAGAACACTATTCGTATCCCTGGTTCTCGAAGAGGACCGGGTGGGTTACGAGCCTAGCCGAAGAGGATCTGAGGGCAATCAACGTACCGTTGAACCCGTCGGCAAGCTCTGCAAAGCCAACAGCAGGGCTGTCTCCACCTCTGAGAACCGTGTACACGTTCTTCAGGAACCTGTACGGATACAGTGTGAGCATGAATGGTACATACGTCGAAGACGACGGGGTCGGACGCACGTGTCACCCATAACCCATTGCCCCCTAAATGGGTTCCATCGGCGTCAGTCTCTCGCTTGGCAATGGGGATTCAACATGGGAAACTCACGGGCCAGTCGCTAAGGCTAGAGAGTCGGTGAGTGCGCCCACGCACGATTGCCCATCATCAGGAAGAGAACCGAGGTTCATGTCATCTGCGGATACCGACCACGCTCTACCCCCAAACGAGAACGTCGATGTGACGTTCGTGGTGCACGCTACAGTCGAACATTAGGACCGGCTCTTCGCGAACAAGGAGAAGTGACACACGGAACTGATAAAGCCCCTGTCCCGACAGCTTTCCGCTCATTATCGCTTGGGAGCCGGCGATTTGCGCCCAGAATGCCTGTACGCCTTCTGTTGGCCCACTGATCAAAGTCGAACCAGTGTCGATGATGGCTGTGGCGTTTCCGATATCAACGTTATTTCCATTGACAGTGATCCCTGCGAGAACACATGATGGTGAGCGAAGTAGGACCAGGAAGTGGAAAATAGGCTCACCAGTCAAAGACTGAACCCAGTACCCTTCCGAAATGTTCTGATTCGTCGGAAGTACAGTGTGGAAGTCGATGTCTCCCTTGAAGAAACTGCTATTAGTCCCGCCAAGAGTGAATGACCCCCCAGGGCGAGTGCTGGTCGCGCTTGTCGTCACATCCTTGTATCTTGGGAGATAGAAGCTCATCTGTGGCGCACTGATCGCTCCAGTGCTGGCGAGAACCTGCCATAATGGCGTCTCGTTGAAGGAGGTTAGTCCTATAAGGCCCAAGCCAATAATTCCGACACTTGAATCCGATATGACGCCAGAGCCGGTGACTTGCGTGACCCCCGCAAATGTTGTGTTCGGCACGGTGTAAGGTCCCAGAGTGACTGTGTCGCTGAACACCGTTCCGGTTGCGTTGCCACCGCCGTAGTGAATGGTGAGGGGCGCCGAGGAGACCTCAAGGATCGAGGATGACTGAGAGACATCCAAGCCTGGCGCGGTTGAGCAGTTGGTGCAAGCTGTCGTGTGGAACCAGAGATCTGATGAGCCCGTATCAAGTGAAACGTCGAGGGACTGTGGTCTGTGACGGAGCAGTCAGATGCGTGCAGCACTCGAGGCATGTGACTGTACAACTCACGGGGTCCCAACCTGAATGGTAGTCAGATACGCGGAGTCGGCATCCTGTAGGGAATGATGAGCTGCTTCGTCATATAATGTCGATAGTACACGCACCTGGTCGAGGGGAACAAGATCGGCTGTACTGGCCCTTCGACTGAGGCTACCATCGCTCCGAGCCTTCAGACCGTGCTTGAGCCTCGACCACTCCACAGATCTCACGACTTGGTCCACGTCGACAACTCCGTCGCGGCGCTGAGGTGTACGGCGAAAGAGAGGTAGATGGTGAGTGTCGCTGCGCTTCGTCGCTGGACCGGCAAGTCCGGCCACTAAACTCGGAAGCAGGAGGAAAGAGAGAAGCATTAAAGGCGGGGTATACAATTAGGCTGCGAGTTGGAGGGGTATGTATCGCCACTGGAAGAGTCATAGCACTACATCGAGTGTTTATAAGCACGTTGATCCACCGCCTCGATGGGAAAATGTCATACAATCATGCTTATGATATCCTCGTCCAATGTCAATCTGGGCAATGAAGTGATCCTCGTTGTGCGGACCAATGCAAACTACCCACGCCGTGTCCCGTTGCTGTACAAGATTCCCAGGACCAGTTGCAATATGGGCGTCCCGCTTCCTTGTGTCTATACAGCGGGTAGTCGTGGTGACACTTACGGCCGCTCTAAGCGAGCAACCGGGATCCGGACAGCAGATGTTGTCGTGATGTTGTCAGGCGTGTCCGAAACCGTGATATGTATGACCTTCTTGCGTCCGTTCTTGTCGCGGCGACCACGAGGGTAGTGTTCACAGCAATCCTCGTCTTCATAGCCCGCCCTCTATTCGAAGAGGTAGCATGGAGGCCCAAAACGCAGTGAATTGACTAGTAGACCATGCCCAACATCGGCCGCCTGATGCCCGCGATGCAGGCGATGTGTTTCAGGTGCATGGTGATCGTTCGGGTTCAAGGACCTCGGACCGTGACGGGCTCGCCCTGTTCAACGCGTCCTGTCACAGTGTGACTTGACGCGCGCCCAGTCTCGCGCGGAACGACTGTCTTTGGGGACGCGCAGTGCCTTTCCGTGCATGGTCTGCGTCTGGAGACTGGTCTCGCGCTAGCCCGCTGGGCCGTCGTCGCCCATCGGGAAGCAGGAGGCTTAGACTGGCACTGGCGACGATGGTATTGTCACGTCGCGCGCCGCATTATATATTAACCCGTAACCCGCGGGCAACCCGCGAGCCGCCGGACCATCAACAACCGATACCACTCGTCTGATGCTCGTCGTTGCGGGACAAAAAATGGCAGCATACATTGGCGCTGACGACAGTCTGGCCCGTACCCTATAAGTCCGGACCGTACTCTGTATTCGAGTCTCATGGTCCATGGGAAGTTAGAGGCGAGCGCTAGCAACCACTACACTCAATCACGACGTCGTTGCTAGGTTCAATGCATCCGGCCGCGAGCGCTCCGAGTTTGCGTGTATCTCTGAGCTCTCTGTCAAGAATATGGTGTGGTATATGGTGGGTATATGTAAGACTGCTACCAATCGCGCGAATGTCCCGATCTGTTTTCCCGGCCACAGTGAGTCGTACGAGCGCTACTCCTGAGGGGACATATCAACGAGAGCCCATCGCGGCGACTTTTCGGCCCTAGGGGGAGAGGCGTGCCACTCCGTACGCAGAGTAAACGGGCTGTGAGGATCAACTACGAGACTCATGAACCCGCCTCGCATATGACATCCCATCCGCATCAACATGGAACCAGTGATCGAATTTCCTCTCCGAGTACCTTCTCCACCCTAAGCGTTCATTCTAGCATCTCAAAACGGCGGCACGTACCTCTGTCTCGGCCTCCCATTACTCGTAAGCGGATTATACGCCGTCTTCTGCTTCTCCTCGAACCTCCTATGCATCTTGGCAGCCGCCTGCTGCGCCTTGAACGACGAGCGGGAGAACGACATGCTATTCAGCACGTCGTCTTCACGAGCGTCGGTTGCGCCTGTCAGCGAGTCGAGGTCGTCGAGGGCTTGACGGAGTCGTCGGGAGAGAGGGGAGGGAGGTGCGCGGAGGTTTTGGTCGTGCCGTGGTAGGCGGTCAAGGAATTGGGTGTAGACGCGGTTGATGACGGATGCAAATTCGGGTTGGATTGCCATGTAGCCTTTGCCGCCTGCGAGTCTGTCAGCATATGGTAGAGAGTGATATGGGTGTATGACATGCATACCTTTGACGGTGACTACTCTGGCTCCGCCGTCTGGTACCCTTACCATGTCGGCTGCCATGGCGTCGATTTTGGATTTGGGCCATAGGCTGTGGTTGTCTCCCTGCGCAAGCGTTAATTAAGGCTCACTAACGCGGTGTGGTGCCCACGTACGTGTATTAGCAGACAGGGTATGGTGATAGACGCCAGTTCCAGCTTCGTCAGCGGCAGGCGCTAGAGAGATGGTCAGCTTTGAGGATCCTGGTCATGGTGGGAAAAAGCGCGTACGTTAACCACAGAATCCGCTATCTGACCCAGTCGCGCCGCGCGCACGGGTGGATAGTTTGTTTCGTAGTACGCGATGAGCTGTGATAGAGCGTCAGTGCATAGTCGGCCAATACGTAGAAGCGAGCCGTACGTCGTCAGCAAGATCTGGGTTGACATTCTGAAGCGACTGAGTGTAAGTGGAGGCAACTTGGTGAGAGAGTACTGCCATACATACTGTGCCGCATATGAGCTCAACAATCTGGTGTAGGCTGAACTCGAGCGTTTGGACATCAGGTGCGGTCTCCCATAGATGGAACATTTCCGCGAGCGCACTTGTCGCACCATCGGGATTTCTGTGGGTGGGTTCAGGCCGTGTGCGGTAGGAAGTGGTGTGAAATGAGGGCGTACCGTCCTGCTCCTGGGCTGATCATTGTCAAGGACTTGGCCAGTTCTGGGAAGCTGAAGACAAGGGCAAACATCAGCGATGCAGTAGTAGCACTTGAACTAAGACAACGTACAGCATGCAGAAGCGCCCGCCCACATCACCGCTGTACGGGCCCGAAGTCAAGACATGCACCGGCGGAAGTTGCAATTGCTACATCCCGGATCAGCCTCACTCGCACCCAGCCCATCCAACACCACGCACCAAACAAAGCACAGCAACATCTACCGCATCCGTATACGAGTCCAGTTTCGGATTAAACCTCGACTGCGTCTTCCCCGCATTCCTCCGGTCGAACGAGATCAGATTGAACTGCTCATCCAGCCTCGGGTCGCCAAACTGTTGACCTAGCCAGGACGTGTCGAGAAGGTCGGGATGGAGGAATAGGATGGTCGGTTTTGAGGGGTCGATTCCGGAGGCGTAACCTGTGCCGGAGTTGGTGAGGTAAAAGAAGGTCGCGTGGTCGGAGCCGAGGTGGACGTCGACGTAGGGCATTATGATGGGTATGGAACGGGAGGGAGAGGACGTCGTGGGCGTTGGTAAGAAGAAGTAGCCAGGCTCATCGGTAGAAGTGAGAGACCGACGCTGCTGCGAGGGTGGTCACTCTGCATGTCATGTCCAGCGTACGTACACATAGACGCCCAATGTGTGGTGTCTGATGGCGAAGATGGTCACCGTGTTCATTGACGAGATCCTGGCTTCTGAACTTAGTTTGCGGGAGTTATGGTAGCGCATACGAATCTGCTCAGGGAAGCGGACGATACTGTATTCTAGAGCAAGACCGCCAGTACCGGCACACGGCCGACATGGCCGCATGGAGAAACGTTACGCGCTGTTGCGCGCCACTCAACATTTCGGCCCGAATGGACCGCCCGCGGCAACTTCCGCACGCGTAGCGCCTCTCGAGACTGCAAGCAAAACTGCAAGCTTGCTGTTTTGTGCCGAACGTTTAGTCTGAAGGGCTCGAATGCCCTCTTTCCTCCCGCCTCTTCCCCTTCAGACCGCGATATGCTGGCTACCGCACCCCTGATTCCAGGCTTTCCATCGGGACGGAGATCCACTCATTGTGCGCATGATGGGGAGGAGAGAATGGTCTTCGTGAAGCAATGCAGACGAGCTCTATCTACACGTCGTACGGACGCAAGGGGGTATTCTGAGTCGCGGGTAGCGGGCTAGCGAAGGTTCGAAACGACGCGAAGACTCCGCCTACTCTAAGCTTGAACACCGACCACAGGGACCCAAATTGAGTGAGACTCAAGATATACCCCTTCCGCACAGCCGCAGAGAGCTTTCCCGCGCCCTTGCAGATGTACTGCAGACTGACCAGTACGGCGAAGACGACTACCGTGGTGATCACAACACTAGGCCACTTTCCGAAGACGACCGCAAGGACGAAAAGCATGGCGCATATGAGCACCGGGAGCAGGCTCAGAGAAGGTATAGCGGCTGTGATCGCGAAGAAGCAGTAGTCGTCGTAAATGTCGAAGGTAAGTTTCTGAGTGTTACGCGAAGTTAGGAAGAGTATGGCTGACTTGAGAATGCGGATGCGCACCTTGAACTGTTTAGCATCTCTCGTCCAGCACAAGACCAAAAGCGCCAAGCATAGGGAGAATCCAAAGATCGCGACGGTCGCTGAGACACCAAGAAAGCAGAGGGCCACGTTACCGATAGGAACGATACTGTTCGGAGCCGCAACGAATACAGTGCTTGCAACGCTGTTGGTAGCCTTAGTGAGCTTCTCAGCTTATGAACTATGCTCTTTGATGACGCACCCAACTACAGTGAGTAGCTGCAACACATTCTCTCTCAGTATGACATAGTCTCGCGTGAGAGTTATCACTCACGATGCCTGCAATGATGCCCCATTGCTGAACGAGATCCGTCTTGATACGCTCAAAGAGAGCATCATTCCCGGATGAGCTGTCAGGATCTGAACCTTGCGAATGGCATGCCTCGTGTGCAGCCCACAATCGGTCATAGATGGTGTAATGGTCCACAACGAATGCAACTGCCCGCAACATTGTGCTCCCATCTTGCAATGGACGCTCGCGAGGGATGAACAAGGGCAAGATGACCTCGAATAGAAGTCGCACGGGGAGCGGGTCTTGTGTTTCCGAGCGCTGTGGTGCGCTGTCGCCCTTCTCAGGCGATTGACCGTCGAGGTCGGACTCGTCTTTAGTATCGCCCCACCAAGGGATGTCCAAGTCCGAAGCCTCGCTGTCATGTGAATGGACACTACGAGCGTCGTCAACATCCGTCCCTGGGACATCTATCGAGATCCCCATATCCGTGGGATCAATCTCCTCTGTTGGAGGGAGGCGGGAGCGGACTTGCTCGAGGTAGTAGAGCACGCTAGCTTCGGCTTCCGAACTGATGATCGCGGGTGACAACTCGAGCGCGGAGAGCAGCATGCGTTGCGCGTATTCGAACAGGCCCATCCTCAGATAGACGTCTCCCAAACCGGTAAAACAGCATATCTTGCGCAGGCGCGACTCCTTCACCTCAGGAGCCTGCATCGCTTGCAAGAGCGTGTTTCGGGCGTCCTCAAGCTCGCCATTCTCGATGTGCGCATATCCTGAGGCAATCATGTGGTTGGCTTCGTCTGCTTGAGTGTCTGACATATCATCAAGGTGAGAGATGGCGGCGGAGGCGGGTGAGAGAGCTGGTGTGAAGCTCGCCAGGATCGGCGTCACGGTGACATCCGACCCATCATCTGTCCGCGGGCCGGCCGCAGTAGATTCATCTCCTTCAGATATGGTCCCGAGCCCTCGATCCACATTCATACTGGGAACCATGTTGGCCGATACGATATCTGCGTCCCGGGACTCTTGCGCTGAGACGAGCACGTTCTTCCCAGTCGCGATCGGAAGGAATGGCTCGCGGGAGATGGAGGCGAATTGTGTTGATAACGCGGTATCCGAGACGAAGGAGGTCTGGCACATCTCAAGGAAAGACGCAGTGGCCGCCGTGATGTGCTCCGGGTGGTGTTTCTCTTGTGTCAACGCGATGGATAAGACGTGCGAGACGTTCTTGAATTCCGCCTTCGACAAGGGCATACTTGAGGCCACGTCTGACGAGGGCCTTGCGATGGAGCCGTCGATCAATGATACATGGAATTCGGTCAACCTTGAGAGCAAATGTCGTGGCGGTGGCTCATATGTTTGCATGTAATCACGAAGCGGTGATAAGACGCGTACGGTGCCTTCTTCCGTAACATGTAGAAGCGAACGGCGCTTAAGCATGTTCAAGAGCTTGAACGCGTCGGCGAGATGATTCGCAAAAGCCCGCGAAAAGGCATGGATTCGAGTTACAAGTAGACCCGTAGGCATCTGAGAGAGAACACTAAGAAGGTCGACTGCATCCGCGCCTAGAAACTGTTTACTGAGAGGGCGAAGGGAACCGGCAATAGAGGCGTTCACGTTCTCAGCGCGATCGCCACTACCGCCTATGCACAGGAGAGCCGTATGCTCCTGCTGCCAGCGTAACAAGAGATCCTTGGAGGGGGCCTCATTGGCGAGATAGGCGAGGATGGTTGTGGAAAGCGCGTCATGATCAACGAGCTCCACGAGCTTTCTCGCGTAGCTGTCGTGCGAGCCACATATGTCATCCCAGATGGCCAGAGCGGCTCTGAGAGTGAGCGGCCCAAGCGGGGGTAATGCGGGTTGCGACCATACCGCACATGGGGGCAGCACTGCGCCGCGCATCGTGACGAGTAGTGCAAGTCCATCTATAGCAGAGAGTTTCGACAGTACTGCCTTTAGCGACGGAACATTGTCGAAGCTGGTGATAAGGTCCAAACCATCTAGACATAGGAGGCACGGAGACAGGGAAGAGATGTGGGTAATGAGTGCGTCCAGTGGCGTCGTGTCCCGGCTAGAGGGCTGTGTGGGGACCAAGCCGGATGATTGGAGGAGCTTGTGGATATGAGCTCCCGAAGCCATGGATTCACAGGATATGAAGAGGCGGCGACCATCGGCATAGCGCGCTTTGATGGAAGGGTGATGCATGACAGCAAGCGCGACGGATGTCTTGCCAATACCGCCCGCGCCTAGAACAGCGACGTGCGCGTTTGCGTCGCTGAGAATAAGGTCGACGGCATTGGCAATCTCGATGTCGCGCCCATGAATATCGTTCGCAAGGTAGGGTGGAGAGGCAAACACGCTCGCCGAAGGAGGAGAGTTGACGGCGGTCGACTGTGCCGCGTGCCGTCAGCAAGTTGGCCCTCGTCGACGAAACATCAGTGGACTCACGATGTCCTTCAGCCTGCATCCAAACAAGTCGGATATGTCCTTCAGTTCAGTGTAACATCCGCTTATCCTCTTGGAGAGTTCTCCACGGCTGGCGTGGGCGCGAAAGCGACCCGTGAACCTCCCAGGCGTTGATTTGCACGCCTTTAAGGTATCGAGTATGTTTGGGAGGCAGCTAAGCGCGAGCCTTGAGCAGGTGCCAAGCCATTGAGAGACAGCGACAAATACCTATCCAACTCTGCTGCGAGATTGAGGGAAGCGTCTTCGAGGCCGTCATGGCCGTCAAGGTCCTGCTGCTCATCGACGAGGTCCTTCAAGCGCTGAGCTATGTTCATGACAGCACTCCATTCTGACCGGAGGGTTTTGATACCCTATATGATCACGCTTTAAGAGAGCTATCACTACTATCATCTGATACTACGCACCTTCTCAAGGTCCAATAGATCGGAAAGGGTGGTAGAGATGCGTTCGAGGGTCGTCCGTGCTTCACACTCCGAAGGGTCGATATCCAAGGTCTTCGAAGTCTCTGTCACATTGCCGGAAGACATCCTCGCCTATAAGTGCGGGAAGAGTAAACCTAGTCAAGTAGAAGATGGAGGGGAGAGTAACAGTATGGGATCCTAGTATGGCCACAGCAGTGCCTGCGGAGGGGACACCGCCACTGCTTCGACGGCACGGCCATTCATACACGCCGGGACGCGGTGCATTCACACGTCAGACTCAGTGGTGGGGGAAGATTGGACTGGTTTCAGAAGTGCACTAGGACCAATACGCGACCATCGTGGCCGTGGATGTGAAGGAAAGAATAATCGAATCGCGTCTGGTCGCGTCGCGCGCCGGCCCGGCATCCCGTGACCGTGTCCTGTCCCAAACTTTCCGCTCTCTCGCGTCTTTCGCTGCACCCATTCGCCACACAGTGGGCCTCACTTGCCCGTTCACTGTCCACACACACGTTTGACATTATGGCACCTCTGATGCCTTCCGAAGACCCCAACTCTCCTAAAACACGGCTTCTTACGCTGCTGAACGTCTCTGCCTCGCGCAGTAATAAGAAGCGCTGTATCGACGCGGTACTCCAACCTGAGGAGAGTGGGCCACGAAAAAAATTGAATGCGAGGAAGACTGCTGCTGTAGTCGAAGAGAAGACGACTCAGGATGTAGAGGAGGAGAGAAAGAGTGAGAAAGGGGAGAGCGAGAGTGAAGATGAAGAGGACCAGGCTCAAGGCACGGAGGTTTCCGGTGAGAGTATACGATATGTGATATGCATACCCGATCCTAACACCGTCTATGGCTCCGGCAGATACTGATTCGGCTTATAAATTCCACTTCGGGCCTTCACCCTCTATACTGACCGACCCCGCACGGACGTCGACGCTCGAGCGCACATGGACGACCACAACTCAAACTTACGGCGCGCTCGGCCAATTTGCATCCTCAATGCCCTCCACTGCGAGTTCTACTGGATCATCCTTCGATGACGCTACTGCCTCAGAAAGGTTACATGCCCGCCTTCGCCCTACATGGTCCAACCACTTGTCCAATTTACCGCCGAAAAGTCGCTCTCAACATTCATCTGCGCTCGGATTATTGGCGAGCAGGGAAGACGTGTACCACCCGCACCTTGCCGGAAACGTCGTGTTACACGAGACTTGGAGGAGAAGCGCCGCGGCACATGGCCTAGACCATGTGCTGAAGAAGAGCGACATCGTACTAGCGAATAACAAGAAGCTGAAGGCACGGGAGGAGAAGTTGAAGAAGGGAAGCAAGAAAGGCGATGCGAAGGATGTAGAGAAGGATGATGCGGCGAAGGGGAAGGATGCCGTGGAGGAGGAGGAGATAGAGCCCGACCAAGGCTTCACGCGTCCAGCCTTGCTCATTCTTACGCCCTTCCGCGCGCAAGCGTTGAAGTGGCTCTCCACGCTTTCATCTTCCCTCCCTGGCAAGATTGAAGGCGAAGATCGATATAAGAGAGAGTTCGGACTTCCAGAGGGCGCGAGCGATAAGTTGAAGGATGCGCCGAGAGGGACGTACGCAGAAGACCATGTTGAGGTGCATATTCATTCTTTCACGTGCTACGCATCCTGTACTGACGAATGTATCTGCACCAGATGTTGAGTGGGAATGTAGACGATAGCTTCCGCCTGGGTCTACGTCTCACCAAACGTGGGATGAAGGCCTTCACCGAATTCTACTCTTCTGACATCCTCATCGCTTCTCCCCTTGGTCTCCGCCTCGCTATCGAGAAAGCCAAGTGAGTATTGCACCCGTGCTTTCTTCGAGAACCTAGCACTCATTGTACGAACTTACCACAGGAACCATGACTTCCTGAGCAGCATCGAGCTCTGCGTGCTCGACCAAACGGACGTGATGCGCATGCAGAACTGGGAACACGTTCAGTTCGTCATGTCCAAGCTCAACGAGCTGCCCAAGGAGAGCCATGAGACGGATTTCGGGCGTGTCAAGCCTTGGTACCTGGACGGACAGTGCGTATCCTTTCCTGGCGGTTGTGGCGAGGACGTTCCCACGCCTGCCACTTCCTTCGTTCCCCCTCTTGTGCCTGATGCTGACATCTTCTATCTAGTGCTGCACACCTCCGTCAGACTATCATTCTCTCTCGACACGAAACCCCCGAGATGCGCGCGCTGTATAATAAGACGCTCAAGAACGTGGCTGGGAAAGTTCGCGCTGTGAAGAGGTACAGTGCGGTCAGAGTGCCTGAGGGCGTCGATACAGTACGTCAGACCTTCAACCCCTTCAGTGCGTGCGGCATGCTGACGCTAGGTACGTCTGACAGCAATTCTTGGCACTGCCGCCGTCTTCATCTACTACGAACCCTGTGAGCGAGCCGGACGCGAGGTTCAACTTCGTCACGACGCAGGTCAGTCCCCCCTCTTCTCCAGCCACCCCCTCAATCGCGCTCTCGTGCCGCCTTCTCGTGTGCTGCGGTCCTCGAGACTTCATTGCTGACGGCCGCACAGGTCCTCCCGACAATGCTCAAGAGTGCAGTCCAATCCTCCGGCGCGTGCGTCGTCGTGCCCGACTCCTTGGACTTCGTGAGGGTACAGAACTGGTTCAGGTCCGTTGATAACCTCAGTACTCTTCGTCTATGCGTCCTGTGTACTAATGTACGCTCGCAGGAAACAAGAGCTCAGTCACGCTACACTCTCAGAGTACGCAACCGGCCCCGAGATCTCTCGCGCACGACAAGCGTTCTTCGCGGGGAAGAAGAACTGGTTGGTCGTCAGCGAGCGATTCTGGTTCTACCACAGGTAACTCTTCCCCCTCGACATATCATGAGACTGTCGTGCTGACTGTATCGGGCGAACAGGTACACGTTGAGAGGGATCCGGCACCTGCTGTTCTACGCCCCGCCCGCGCATCCACAGTGTTATGCCGAGTTCGTGGCTTACCCGTTCTCTGATAAGGTACGTGCAATCTGTTCCTTTTCGTAGCTATTCAGTCCCTGACGGATGCTGACGAGTGTCGCATATCTAGGATGTCCAACCTGAGGATGTGACAGTCCGCCTCGTCGCGGGTAGGCTCGACGCGCTCGCGCTGGAAAGGATCGTAGGGAGTAAGGCAGTTGGAGGGCTTATTAGTGGGGCGCGATGAAAATGGGCACTTTTGTATGAGTGATGTGCTCGATATAAGATCAGCGTGTACATGATGATTTCATCCTCTGAGATATCGTTGAGTGCAAGACCGCGGGTCCGAGAGCATGATGCCGAAGGTCAAGCTACCAGCCTGGCCTTGTCCCGGCCGATCGGCCCGATCGGCCGACGGGCGACGACGCGTGCGACGCGCCATCCGAGGTTTGCCTCGAACCACCATGTATACTGGCCTGTGTAGCCGGTTCGGGGCGAACGAATGACTACAGGCTTTTCTTCTCCCGTGAACACGACGTGCTTTTGCACGCTTCGGAATGCCATCGCGATCGTTTGGCCTAAGACGATAGCCAAGTCGTCGCGGGAAGCCTCGTTACCTGCTTAGTCTCGGCTCCCGCTCGCGGCCTCCAACATGCGCTGGACCGAGTTACATGGCGAGAGCATGTCTTTGAACCTTGTCGTTGCCATGCATGAACTCTACACCTGTTATCACAAGCTCTCATCGATCACTACTACGTCCGACGTGTGCCACGAGCGTATGCGGATTCAGACGAGGCAGGCGCGTACTTTTGTTTCACTCCATACACTCTATTTCTTACCTTCGATCAACAGGGTCTCTCCTTGCTTCTCGATCTGTGGCGTTGCTCATGTGAGAGTCAGTGTCAACAAGCCCTCAGAAGATGTAAGAATCCCCGAGACGGTCGCGCTCAGCATCGCGGCCGCTAAGATTTGCGGGGCACAAGCAGCTGATCTCATGCAAAGCAACTCTCCTGAGAGGAATATCCACTTCCCCGGAAGCACGCGAATGGCAAGCACCGCGCTTTGTCATGTATAGAACAGCACACTGGCTAGGTCTCCGGCTACTTTCGTGGATGCCTTCGCACTCCGGGGCTCCAAGTTCCGACTGTCCCAGTGCGACGGTGCCACTTGAAGGTTCCAAAGATGGGACGTCTTCTAGCGATGTCTTGCTCACACTCCTCCTCCTACTTCTCGCGATCCGCCTTCATCAAGACCGACACCGACGTGCCTCGTGGAATGTTACAACTGCTAGTGGGCGTATATGCCTGCCAAGGCAGGATATGGGCGCTGTGTGAAGAGGCGTACGTCTTTTGTCCTACTTGGCTCTACATTCGCTGGCTTTCCTCTAATCATATCACCCCTAGGTAAGTCCGACCGCAGTCGGACAATGCTAGCATCGCTATGGAACGTAGGTTCGCGGTTTGAAACCTGACACCCTGGCACGGACAATGAGCGGTGTGTGAAGATACGTACCGAAGTGGTACGTTCTTTGTCGCTACCGGGTTCCTATGTGCGACTGATGTTTCTGAAGCATAGCCCGGTAGCCGAACTCCGATACTTCCTGTCATGGTTCCCGTACCATGACCTGGACGCGCCAAACTCCCAAGGGTCCTGGGGTGGCCGAACAAGTCAGCGTGACAGGTACGTTGTCCGATTGCACGCATACACTGCCCTCCATCATCCATTACCTTACATCGTCCACCTTCACGACGACTACGTAGCGCACGTAGCCCTTGATCACGATCATCGCATAACCCGCATTGTTTGCCTGCGCTTCCGGAAGTGATGGGCCACGTTCAATAGCTCATCGTCTCAACCGACATACCCGGGCTCACTTGTAAGAGGCAGCGAACCCCGAAGGAACGAATGTGATCGGATGCATCGTGACCACACTCGAGCGGCACCACCCTGTGGATCCTCAAGGCACCGACGAGCTACGGTCGGTACTGTAGGTGATAATGCACCGCGAAGGGTCCGGGCTCGAAATCTGGACGGTATAGTCAAGTCGAGGCGCCTATTCGAAGGCATCAAAGGCAATACTCACATGCACGATTGAAGTTGATCGGAGCGCTTGTCGGCGAGACCGACCAGCCCGAGTGGCTCTGGGCGTCTACCCATAGCCTGCAATGTACGGTGAATTGCCTTACCCCATGCTCTTGTGCGAGACGCTCAACTTCACGTTAGGCATCAGCTGAGCTGCTCATGGTGCCCACCAGCCGAACGATGTAAGCGAAGAAGATCGCAGCACGATCATCCTTGCGCCCTCCCTATGCTATGGACCTTGTAACGCCGTAGTCAGTCGATCGTCAGCCAGGCCCTCAGAGAACACCTCTAACAAGACAACAGTTCCTTGTAGAACCGCCTCCCCAACCACAAGGTTCGACGATATTCGTCTTCGGCGGCCAGCCTGAAACTCTACAAGGTGGCGCACTTCCATTGCATGCTTCGCGCCTGGCGCGACGCGCTCTCTCTCATCGGCAAAGTTCGGCATTGGTGCAAGCAGCTAACTGCAAGATGTATCACCCGCGTCCCTACATTGGTACGGAGAGCAACTCCGTGTACAGCTATAGTCGAGGCGCCTATAGTTGACAACAATCGGTCATAGCTTCAGTCCGCGCGTTCGAGGGTTCGGTCCCAAGACCATCCAAATGGAACTTCACAGGCGTCAGACAAAGCGGCGCGTTGTCTTCTGCCTTGCTAACCTCCCGCGCCCTGACTGATAGCTCCAGATCATCTCACTTCCGCCCATTTCGCGAGTTGGATGCCGCTTAGGAAACGAGATTCAAGGCCTTGAGACAACCGATGTCGTGAGCCATTCGTACCGTGATGACAACATTCATTGTGGGATATCAAGGTATGATTCCATCTTCATCAACAACCCGCCAACCTCAGCGTTGAAGTTGGTCAGACAATCACAGTGTTTACCTCTCGCCTAAGGCATGCCAGCCGGTGTTGCGGGCGCTCTTGCTCGACGAGGACGTCTATACGCTACTATCCTGGGTCTAGGATATCCACCGACGTTCGATCATGGATCTTCCGACGCGGCGTCACCATCGGACGTCAGTCGAGATACAACACGACGCATTGAGGTCTGGAGAGATAACGATGACCGAAATCAGAGTCGCAGAGTGTTTGGCATAGTGTTCCTGTCATCTTTACCAGATGCTGAAAAGGATTACCGTAGAATTATAACAAGGTAAGCTGTCCTCGGCATTATTCATCTCGGCGCTTTGATGGACTGGCGCTAACATGCTCATCGTCCGTTTAGAACACCGAGCCACCGACGCACTTCTCCGACATGCCCGCGACGCCTTGCGATACACACCTACGATACACACATCGTATGTTGATCGTCGGACTTTCAAAGTTACTTGATGTTCAGATAGTGCTCGACCGACAACAGCGCCAAGAGGCATGTACAAACCCGAGTTGCCCGCAGTGGCCGAGTACAGTCGGTGACTGCAGATTGCGAGCGGTGTTATCCTATCTCACTTTTGCTCGGACCTGTTGAATCCATCCTCTGCACAAACTCCATACAGGATAGACCTTGACAACTCATTTGCAATTGAGCATATATGATCCGAGATTTCGAGGACGGTTCGGGAGTCTCGGTGGCGATTTTGCAAGAAACAGCACCCTCTCGCGCCACTCATCGACTACCTCCTGTGTTGCCATATCATCCAAGCACGACATCACTTTGCATCTCCTGATCGTATCATCCGTCGTACTTTGACCCGACGCCATGCAGGTGACATCCCCGCAAAGCCAATCAGTGGCGTACGCCGTACGGCGGAGCTGCAGACGCTGCTGGTTGCAGACACAACACTTACAACGTACGACTTCGAGCAGATCTCCTCTTTGTGTCTCTATCTGCCAATCTTCGCATATGTGCCCTCCACGGGCGGAGAGCGCTCGGGGAAGTTGGCTTCTATGACCTATTCATGGTCATTCAGAGCGGCTGCTGAGACTCAAACTGGTGTGTTGAGCTTGCTCGCACGCAATGATCCCGTTTGACATGCAAAGCCAGGAGAGAACCAATACTTGCGATTGACTTGTCCAGCTCACAGCCTCGGCGAAGTCACCACGTTGGTACATCTTCCGCCACCATTCTTCAACGCATGGGCTCTGGTAAGCGCCCGGGGCCCTCACGATCGGCAGACGGACTCTCGATAAGGCAGCCAGATCATCCACCAATGTCTACAACAGGCAGGCGAACTGCAGTGTGCATTGCGTGTTCATCTCAGCTGCCGAAGGCCGAGGCATAGCGAGAAGATGGTTGGAGGGGCGGCCTCGAGCTTGCCATGTGGGTGTTTATGTCCGCGCGACGTGCCGAGTTCCCACTGAGTAGCGTGCACAATGACGCGCGATTGCCAATCCTACACCTGAGGAACACAGAAGATTTCCAGATGTACTTTTTAAGGCAACACACCCGCAAAACCGGCCTCTGAAGCGTCCTTCTCTCAGTGCTGATCTATTCGTCATCTCTTCCTTTACCAAGCCTTTGCCCTGTGAGGCACTCTCTTGGATTCGGCAAAGCATTAGCTCTCCGAGTTTCCCGAGGATGCTGTCTGAACACACGCAGCCAGGGGTGACGATTGTCTCCGACCGCGAAGCGCGGACTGGCCATACTGGAAGAACCACTCCGAGTCTACAACACGCGCCGGCCATGTTGCGATCTTTGTATGTACGAGACCGACGTGTGTGAGCCTGGGCCTATGGCATGCGTAGGTTTCGGGGCGCGTGTCGCCGCTATACCAATGAACGAGCTTGCGATTCTCTATGGTTCTCATGAGCATGATCGATGCGTGCATCGCTTCAAAGACAACCACTTCTTTGACTGATTGGCATGCACAACGCATAACAAAGAAGCTTCCGCTTCGTGTTCTTCGGCTTATCGGCGGAATCCTGCTTCTCGGTATACCCCGCGGCGAATCGGTAAGGCCTCGCACGGCGACGTTGGCTGCGAAGCTGAGCACCGTAGAGGCAAATGAAGATCAGAAGTAGGAAGCAAAGCAGTCAATGCGACTGGTTGCTCGGATTCCGGCCCGCGGACATCGTGCCGAAATCTCGGTCATGTCTACCGGGGTGCACGGTGACCTGGCGCGTGTTACCCAGGCGCTTGGTGTACGGAAACTGGGTTATCTTAAAGCGAGCTTCCACATCTTCATACATTCGGGGGCGCTAGACTGTTCTCTCTCCGACCAACCAGGCGTCTTGACCAGCTGCGAGGTGGCCGTCTCCTCGCTTCGTGGCGAGATAGAGGAGATAGGGGAGTTCCTGCACTCCGTACTCGACGTCGCCAAGATCCGCACGGTTTCCGACGCCACGGATCCATTGAGGATGAGCCGGGCTCTAGGGCACGTGCTTCTGAGAGAGGTCGCATGATATGCTACGGTATGACAGCATACACAGGCTGAACTCTTGAGGCGAGGGACAAAGAGGGAAGTTAGCAAGTTGACACTATGGCAAAGGCTGGCGCCTTTCTCGAAGCCCAGGCAAGCACTGCTAGCATGCGACTGAGACCTGCAGATAGAAGACGGCAGCTTTTCAGTCACCGAGAAGCGCGGATGATGCTTTCCAGGCCGTGTATGCGGACGGGAACGAGTAGACGAGCAGGTGATGCCGATCCGCAGGTTTGAGCCAGTTGTATCGATGAAACGATCGAACGGGGAGGATACATTCATAGTATGGTATACATCATACAATACGACATCCACGAATAGATAGGTTGACGGGCACTTGAAGTGAGTAAAGCACAGATGAGCACAGCGCGTGGAGAGATATGGAGCGCATGAGAGCAGAGTGTGAAAGCAGGTATATCCGAAAGCAGGCGAGAAACCACTCATTCTAGTTGAGTATGTGCATGCAAAGGACGCCGAAGCGCCAAATTGCCAGACGATGTTCGTGAGGGAGTCGTGGAATTTTGAGCTGGTCTCATTCACAGAGAAAAGGCCTAGACGGTCTGGGGATCGAAGTCGTGCTGAGAAGAGTATCGCGCCGCATCCCGTCGTTGCCGCTTGAGGCGAACCTCTTCGCTGTGATCGCGCGAGAGGTGCTTGTGCAGCTTCGACGGATCCTTGAAACGCAAGTCGCAATGAGCACAGGCGTGAGGGCTCTCGCCAGAACTAGATACATCATTGGTACATGTAGCGACACAGGCGCTCAAGTCACTTACTGCGTGTTGATGTGACAGTTCTCCGCGTTGCTACGCTGCGTGAATGTGCTACAAGAATGTTAGATCCAAGGAGCATTGCGCTTGCGCACAGCATAATGCTTACCTGCCACACCAACTGCACTGGAAGCGCCTGTGCAGCGGTCAATCTTGAGAGTTCGTGTTAGCAGATAGCAGACACGTACTTGATGTTCATGTGCGTTGCCTCAATGTGGCGCTTGACGAGATGTTTCTTGGACCTGTAGCTACACCGTGCAGGCTTGCCGTTCTCCATCTTGTTGCAGATGCAGCGCCATCGGGTAGGATCGCTTGGGACCGGTTCGGCGTACTGAAGATACTTCCTGTCGTCGATCTTGACCTCAATCTTGATGATCTCCAGCTTCACGCCTTTACGGTTGAAGAACGCCTTGCGAGGTTCTTTGCCGGGGCCCTGATCGAACTCCTGAACCCGATATACCACACAGTCCTCGTTATATGGCGCATCGTTAGGTTCCTCGTCATCGTCGTCGTCGGAGGCGGGCTGTACTGTCGAGGGTGGCCGCTCATACTGATGCTCCATATGACCGCGCTTGCCTAGACTCGATGCTGTTGCATGCACACGCGGGTCGGAGTAAGAGCGTGATCTTCGGCTACAAAGGAATCAGTGCTGACTCTCGCCGAGGAACTGATCAAAACAGACGTGTCCGGCCGAGTAGAGGCAAAGTCCGATGGTCCACGACGCCGTTGGCTATCCGACGCGTAATGAGATGAAATGGGTCGGTCTAGCGAGTCCGTTGAAGATCGCGCTGGCCCAAAAGAGACCTCTCTGACGCAAGACTACCGTGAGCAGATTACCACTTATGTTGAGCTGTACGCCTACCCATCAGATGAGTAAGGCCGGGCGGGCTCTCTACGATAGACGGCATGATTTGAAGGTGGTGGCGGGTAAGCTCTGGGGTGGTAGTACGATGGATAGGCCGACGGCGGCGGAGCCTCAAACCGATACCTGAGCGACGAATAAGCTCCAATATGTGACACAACAAAGGAAGAGAAAGTCCTGTACCTCGATGGATTCGCGGCTTCCAAGGTACGAAGCAAAGTCGCTGCACGCGCTTCCTCTCGATCGCCGGGTATACCGCGTCGACCGGAGTCGTGACCCGGTTGTATGCCGTTTTCCTTGAGGACGTCGCGCAAAGATGGCAGCGTGAGCGGCGGAGAACCCGGCCGATGAGGCAGTTGATAGCGCCTGGTAATTATTACGTTAGCGCAAAGATTCCTTGTTCACCGCCCGACGCGCGCCAGCGCTCAAAAGTGCCACTCACTCTGGTATGGGACTACTTTCTGCAGACGACCGACTGCTAGACGAGGTTGAGGGTGGTGTTGAGCTTCGCGACCGAGTGAAGTGTTCCACGGGATAGAGAGACATGATGCGGAAGCAGGATACAGGGGCGCTGGGTAGCTCGAAAAGCCATCGCAGAGATGGCCATTATAAGGGTGACAAGGACTCGGCCAGTCCCACATGATGGCCACAAACGGTAAATCAAGTATATTCAGGGAGCGAATCTGAGCCGGAAATAGTAAATGGGCGTTTTCCGGCCGTGTGTCCGTGCCCTGGCGCGTTGACGCCCGTGAGGATTCCCGCACATCGCCTCCGCGCGCGCCGGCATCTGGCGGCGGAGATCCCGGCGAGCTTCATGATTTACAATAGCGCGTGAGGAGATGTGTAGTTGCGGTACTTGGTACATGGCTGCGATGCGCTAGATGTCAGGATAGGACAGGCGCCTATTCGTTTACTGCACTACTGCACTGCGATAAAGAGGTGCATTCTTCCTGGCGGTGTGCCATTGCGCGTACTTTCCGAGAGCTCCGACTGCAACCAGGATGAGTGGTGTCGTAAATGGGAGGGTGAAAGAAAGTGCATGTTCCTCGTGGCGGACGACGTGGCTAGACGCCTCAATGGACCTTTTTGCACAGAGATGGAAGGCGAGGATTGGGTTTGGCGCACATCCGTGATGCGCAGAGAGTGCAAAGTCGCAAATACGTTGTCGATGGTCGCGCTGCGGGGCAAAGAAGCGAGCGGCCTCTGATGGATGATAACATCTGAGACGGGGCGTCCGGGCATCTCGTGCAGCTTCATTCAAACGCCGTCACCGGCCGCTCTTATGTCAAGAAGATTGAGGTGCAGAGCAAAGGACCGATGCGGAGCGCTCTCCTGCAGCTACATGGCCGAAGTTTGCCTGGACACCCAAAATCGCGGGACGTCAAGAACCTCGAGGGCTGTAGTGAGTTGGCGCCTCCGCGGACGGCCGCAACACGCGGGGAAGCTGAGTACCGGGGTCAGTACCGGCTACACTGTTCCCGTTCCCTGAACACTCAGGACCCGCAATTCGGAGCCCACGCACGCGGTGTACTGACGTATGTGGCTTTCTCTGACTGCTCCGCCACAAATCCTCGACAGATGTACCACGAAACGACGGAGGAAAGTACGGCCCGGCATCGATATCAGTGGCCGGTCTGATCCTCCGATATCTAACGAGGCAGGCCGGACACTGTGGGGACGATTGATGTATCCCGTACGTAGGCGCCTAGCGGTGGATACGGATGGACGGTACACTCTTGTCGGTTGCAGCCCGTCGCGCCGAGAGTGCTAGATTGTGGTCCTGGACCATCGTGCGGGTGACCGATTTACGGTAAGGACACGACTAGAAGCATACACCGCACACGCACCATCGCTGAACCCCTTCCGCATTCTCCGTATGGAGACGAGGCTAGACTAGTGATAATAACACAGTCCCTATTTCCATGATGCTATTGAGCCCTCGGTCGCTCTTGGGTCTTTCGTTGTCGACGCCATGCCTTTAGCGCTCAAGGCGTGGAAGGCTACAAACGAAGCCTGCACGCGTCCCATCTTATGATAGCTCTCATCTACTCTCGTGAGCGCACTGAGTACTCATAAAGGCAGCTCTGCACGTCGAGATCGAGGGTGCATCGAAAGGCTCAACGGTCGCTCATCAGGCCTCAGGGACGCATGTGACGTCGTGACATTTGTTCAAGTTCCCGGAGCACGGCCCGACCGCCAAGGTGCCGTACTACCTCTGCTCGCCAACTCTTCGTCGCACACCGCCATGACCGATATGCTTCCTCTAGGTCTCGCACAAGAACCATCGTAGCACGAGGCTCCCAGATCATGGTGTTGTACATGCGCATAAGGATATAACACGATGCTGTGTTGAGTCCGTCACTGCACAACGCGACGGCGTTTACTGATGGGTGACACGGAGAAATATCGCAGCTCATGCGTGATGTATGTCTAAGCCGAGGTACTCAAAGCATAGCAACTCGACGCACTGTCGTAAGTCTATTCTGAGACTCTCGTTTGGTTGCTAGCATCAAGCCACAATCTGCACGGGATATACAAGATGAGATGAACGTCGGAGCACTCGCAAACCCGACAAAATGCTACAGTGCAGGGACAGTACGGAAACGCTAGAACAAGGGATACGAAGGCTGAAGAAGATTTCCGATGTCTCCAAGGTCGGTATACGGGCAAGACGGGCGTCAGTCTGACTCGGCTAGACGCAGCTTGCGACCTGTACTCATCATGTGGCGTAGAATGTACAGCGAGAAGCTCGAGGTGTAACAAGTGAACGGAATTGCGAAGGCATGCCACATTATTGGCATACGAACCTTGTCTGTCCGCAGTACTACCATTTGCTCGAATATGGCCTGTCGCCGTACGTTCGGCCTGAGTACCGTGCCGTCGCCCTGGTGAGGTTTGTGCCGAATGGGAGCTGAACATCTGTATCTTCTCTTGATCGAGCACTCTTCAACATCGTGTCGTCCTGCATGCACGCCCTCATCCAGCCGACTCTTGCTTACTATGTCAGCTTCGAAGACGAGCGCCGCACGCGAGCTTTGCCGAGTGTGCAGTCCGTCAGAAAGGGCTTTGAGGTCATCCGTCCGCATTACCAGCACGAGCCCGAAAGAGGTCGGCGCCCTGGTATGACCGAGATGAAGCCTTGCGCTATAGTATATCGAGCGCAAATCCTCTCCTCCAGGTCCAGCGAGGCTGTCAACTTCGAATTCTGAGAGCTACCAGAGACATCCACAAGCATGCGGCCGACGCCCGGCCCGCCCGCGGCACAAGTAAATGGGATCAACAATCTCCAACAAGCAAGCGAGAGGCGCAGATTGGATGGCCTTCTCGATGCTTTCCCACACCGCGCGACGAACACAAGGCCCGCCGTCCGACTCGGCAGGAGGCCGTACGAAGGTACGGTGCGGGCGCCCGAAGTGCGCAGTCGTAGTAGTGGCTTTGAGAGCAAAGTTGCGCGCTAGGCCAGTCTGATGCATGAGGGTGCGCGCCCTACAGCTGACTTTGCGGCGGGCAAAGCAGCAGACGGCGTGCTGACGCGCTAGACGATGTATGGGTGACCGAGTAAATGAAGTTACTGAGGTCCGTCACGGAAGAGTCGCTCCGGATATCGATGCTGGGCGACTCGAGCGTCTGCGAATGTCTGCAGCCGTCAGCGAGCTCAGTGGTGCACAATATCCATCTGCCGAGATCTCAAGATCTCTGTAGATTGCCCCGTTCACCGACTACTCCAGGGGGGACCTTCATCAATAAGCCTTGTTCCCAAGCTGGTAAGCTTCGAACCAACTGCCCGCACACTCCGTGAGGATGATCTCCAAGCAGGTCAATGACATTCGCGTAACTGCGGACAGGATGTTGCGAGACACATGTACAGCATACAGTCTGAAAGAGGAAAGCAACGCTGGAGGGGATAGCAAACCGCGAAAGACAAGATGTGTTTCAGGTGCAGATAGCAAGATCCTGGTATCAACCAGCAGTTGTTCTTTCTTTCCTGCAGGGTACGATCGATGTCAGCTACCTAAACGACACAAGTGACAGGCCTGTGGCTTACCTAGGTAGCTTCTCTAGCGTTGTAAGCTCACCGGCGGTCTTCCATAATCGCGCCAACCTTCAGTCGACCGGTAGAACCTGTATCCCGGGCTACACATGCCCCGCGTGGTGCACTCGTACGACGGCGACCATGTCCATAGAAGGCAACATGCCGGATCCCGCATCCACGCGGTTGGCCACCAGGGTCACGCGTCGTTGTATTTTGATAGAGGCGCAGCCTAGCAAATACAGTTGGTCAGAAGGCGATCCAACGACAGATGCCTCGAACTTGCATACTTGCCCCTCAATTCCCCATCCTCCCAACAGCAACGCCGACATCTTCTGAACAACCTCATCGCTTTGGACGGCAAAGGCTACGCTCCCTGCGTGAGGGACTTGAGTGTTCGTTGCCGTCTAGCGCGTTCTACTTGAGGACGTCGAAGACGACTGTGAACATCAACGTCAAGCTGCGCGTTCCTCGTCAACTTGAGCTCTCGACTCTGCATCTTCACCTAACGAATGGGCCAGACTGAGGTCGTTTGCATACACGTCCTAACAACGGCGGAGGTCCATATGCGTCCGCATCGCGACGCGCGTCACCAGCGTGGGCTCAGCGATAGTCGCTCGTCCTTTCTTCCGACGTCTCGAAGTACCGTGGCCCTAGCGCCCATCGGAAGCTACTGCCCGCCTGCGAAGACAGCCGCAAGGATGACCCACAGCGCGTCAAGTTTCTCAGCACCTCTCGCCGTGCACGACCGTCCATGCAACCATTCGAAGCTGGGAGACCGAGGGCACACCAAAGTGGAGGGTGCTGAATGAAGATTTTCAGGCCCATGCGACGCCATGGCGCGGCCGTGGTTGTTGTAAACGCCATGTTCTCAGCGGTTTACGCCTCGCTGGATACGTAATGCAGTGCCCATAGATGTTCGGGGTCACGAATGAACATATGTCCGTGTAGCTATCGAAGCGGTGCCACGCTGGAAGGCCGAGGGCACAGAGAAGCAGAAGGTCTTGAACCGTGTATCGAGAACCTTAGGGTCATGCAGAGCCTTGCGACGAAGTCGTACGTCCGTATCGCGCATGGCAAAGTCGTGGCCATTGTAAACGTCATGTCTCCGACGTTCAAGGGCTCGCCTCGGCGGCTCGAGGAACCGAAGGAAGGTCTACGCAGACGAGATTGTAAACGGCGTCAAGCTGGAAGACCGAGGGTGCAAAGAAGCAGAAGGCGTTCGACCGCGTATCAAGAGACGTCCAGGGTCGTGTAGATCCATGCGGCAAAGTTGCGCGCTGGTGTGACGCGTGCCAAAGTCGTGTACTTCGTAGACGCCAGGTCCCCGACGGTCGACGGCGCGCACCGTTCTCGTGCACTAGGTCCAGCACCCATCGGCGAGTTACGTAGTCGAAGGAAGGTCTGCGTGGACCGACTCTATTGAGAAGTCGGGCGCGGGAGGAAGTGGCTGTCATAATGCGAAGTACGCCGGTCCTCGTGTCTTGTTTGGCTTGCTTCTTGCGGGGGACATCGGCTCTGAGACAAGTATAGCTGTACCAGCACTGCAACGAGGAATGTACGGCGCTGCGTAGAAGATCGTGTCAGCAGGTTCACCGTGATCCATCCATGCCGAAGCTCACTCACGCGTACACATCCATCCTACTTCCACGATCGAAGGTACACTGATGCTTCAGAAAGCTCCGTCGTGGGGGCCCGCGCGCGTCCTACTCAGGAGCATCAACGTTAAGTTAGCACGCGCGTATGAGTCCAGGGCGTTCACGTACAGGTCCTGGACTGGGTATGCGACTGGTAGGCTCAATCAAGTACTTGAACTGAGCTCGCCGCTAGAAGACGACGTTAGCCAGGTCGGACGATCGCATGAGCAGGACAGGAGGCGCACTTTGAGGACTCCGCCCGCATATACATCTCGTAGCACATCCTTCGCGACATTGGCAGCTCCGCGTACAGCGGATAGACTCGAATGCGGCCACACGCGCACACATAGTCGCTTCTAGACAGGATCAGAGGTGACGAGATGATATGGGGAGAGAGAGGGCTCAGCGTACTACTTGACCGTCAAGAACTGCACACCTGACACTATGAGCGCCGCGGCGGGGTGCGCGTCGAGCCTGGGTGAGACCAACATCGATGCCCGCTCCATCCGAAGAACATCTGTGCGAGAATGGTCAGCTCGAGAGTGGTATTGCAAGACGCAAGAGCTTACGTGGAAGCAACCCGTCGTGGGACGTAGAGACGGGTGGAACGTGGAGAGTATCGGAACTGAGCATAACATCCAGACAATCGAGCGAACGTTGAACGACCGATCGTGCTCAGTGCATGACCAAGCCCGAAGGCGCCGAACGTCAGAGCAGCGCAGGGCAGCGCAAACCGACGCCCAGAAATCCGTGCGAGCTGCATGCTGTCAACAGAGTATTCCCCGTGCTGCGTGTATGAGGTCAAATCAGCCAGGTTTTCAAGACTATGCGACGCGAGTACTCACGCGTATGCCAGAGAGGCGAAAGCGCCGTATTATGTCGCAACCCTGGGTAGACATGGTGAGGCTGTCCAAGGCGCAAACTTGAGTCCTCTGGCCGCGGTGAGAGCACAGACGCGAGAACCTCATCAAGCCGTCTACACATATCGCTCGCAGAGACGTGGGAGCTTGAGCTTGAGCGCCCGAGCGCTACGTAGTTGATGAACGCCGTGATGGACCCCGGGTCGAGCGTCTTGCGAATCTTGCCTGGCCGGGCCAAGACCCGCGACCAGTCTCCTTGAGCGCGGAGGCGGAGGCTAATTCGAGCCGCGAGTATCGCGCAACATCAATGCCCGCTCCATGAGAAGAACACCTGTGCGAGGATGGTAAGTTCAAGATAGGTCTCGAGCGGTACAGATACGCACGTATGAGCTAAGACGCTGAGGGTGTCGGACCTGGATATGGTGTTCGGACTGAGCGTCTCTTGCACGCGGCAGTTGCGTTCGATTGTTGACTGGGTACGAAGGCGTCCGATGTCGGAGCAGCGCAGGATACCTCCTGGACAATCATGCCGGCGAGTTGCTCCCTGTAACGCGTTCTCCGTGCTGCGTACATGAAGTAAAGTCAGTCACAGTCTTGAGACCATATAGTTCGGGACGTACTCACACATATACGGGGCGAGTAAAGGATGGTCGAGAGCAGCATGGTGCCGAAAGCCTGGATAGATGGTGGTGGGGTGCCTACTACGCGTGGATGAAGTGACGCTATGGTCACTGATAGCGCATAGAATTGAGGGGTTCGTTCTGGCTCCCTCCGTAGGACGCTGGACAGGACATCCGGCCGGCAACTTCAGCGCAGCGCGCTGCACTGTGCCAAGTATTTTCCACGTCTTGCGCATATCCTGTCTAGCCATGCCTACGCAGAATATATTCACGCATCCAGAAGAGGCACGAGCACTACTGAACGCAGCATAGAATTCGCTGTCAAAACAGCCATGGAAGTCAAAGTCCAAACGCCTGCCGTCTCGCAGCCGGCGGTAAACGCGCCCACGTCATCACGTTTAGTCAAGCGCAGCGCAGCTGTGCGATGATGTCGATCTCACAGCCTAGCGCCCTCCAACCATCTCTCTCAGCAGCGTCTTCTCTCAGTCTTGTCTCTAACCACCACCGTCTCCAGGCATCTGCCTCGCACCGAGCTTATCTATTCAGAGCTTTCTACGCGAACTACTCGATCTTGCGTATACTTTATTTCTGCAGTCCTGAGATCTAGCGAATATGTCTAATCCGCCTGCGTCCAACGTCCCTGCCTCCGACCCTCCAATCCAAGGTTACACCCTCACCGACGAGCCCTCGCACGATCCTACATCCGTGCCCTTGCCAAAGTCACCGGAGACTGCCGCACCGCCCACCCAGAGCTTCGCCGCTCCTTCCTCTCCTGGAACTGGATCTGTTGCTGCTGGACCTGGATCCAATGCAGCGTACGACGGCCCGAACCCGTTTCTCGGCCCCTCAGATGGAGGTGCCGGTGCAGAGCCGACGTCGCCTGGCTCGAGACCCGGCGAGACGGTGTTGAGCTATACGCCTCCGTCGCACGAGCAGGACTACGCTCCGCCGCCCGGCCCGCCTCCGCCCTCCACCGTCCCTCCCACTTCGGCACCTTCTTTCCCCACTCCTGGCCAACCCGCTCCCAACGCTCAGCCGCAAGCTCATGGTCAGAGCCAGCCGCAAACGCAAACGGACGAAGCGATCTACGCCTCAAACACCCAGCTCGCCTCGCTGCACGCCATATTCCCCGACTTCGACGCCGAGACTCTGCAGAGCGTTCTCGAGAGCGTGGGCGGCGATCAAGATCGGGCGGTCGATACGTTGCTGGGTATGAGCGATCCCGAGCATGTTAGTACGAGTGGACCTGTGGGGGAGCAGGCGCACCCGCAGCAGGTACGATATCCCATTTCTCGCCTCCAATATGAAGATGTGCTCATGAACTGTTGCAGAAGTCGCAGACGGAGCTGGACGAAGAGTTCGCGCGCCATCTGATGTTGCAGGAACAGGAGGAGTATAATCAGGCGCAGGAGCAGGCGCAGAGGGCGCAGGGCGAGCGGTGGACACCGCGTCAGCGTTCGTCCCAGGATCAGTCGCGACTTAGTCCCGGTGCTGGTGCGAATGCTGGAGAGAGGGATACGTTCGCGGAGGTTCAGGAGCAGGTTACCAAATTCGCCGAATGCAAGTCCTCCTTTCGACGATGCATCGAGTGAGAATGCTGTACTGATGATATGTGGCGAATGCAGCGGGCAAACGGACGTTCTCGTCCCTCCTTACAAAAGCCAAAGCCAAGCTCCAAGAACTCGACCAGTCCCGTGCACAAGGACAAGGACAGGGCCAGTCCTCCGCCTCTGCTTCCAACCCTCCGTCGCAGACGCAGTACCAGAACCCCGGGCAGCAGCAACCTGTGGCGCCTTGGGCCTCCGGGGGCTCCTGGAACCAGTCTGCGCCCCCTCAGCCCGCGCCGGGCTTAGACCGCCACGCCCAAGCAGCCGCCTACGCGCCCGTCGCGCCCTCCACTGTGCCCGCCCCAAGCACAACGCCTAACACCGTCCCCGGCCACGACTTTGCTTCCACCGGCACACCTCCCCCTCCGCGCACAGGCTCAGGCGTAGTGGGCAATGCGAATGCGGGTGTGAGCGCCAGTCCGCCGCGCGCGCTCGATCCGAGCGAGGTGGGGCTGTTGCCGAAGAGACCGGTTACGCTTCAGGCGGCTCAGAGCGGGAGTGTGGGCGGAAGGGGTGGACGGGCGCCGCCGGAGGATGAGGGGGATGAGTTGGAGTATGTTGAGAATCCGTTTGAGGAGACGAGGCGGTAGAGTGTTGTCGGGCCTGCATATCTTGGATCTGGGAAAGTGCGACTATGGGATGCTGGGAAAGGAAGAATCTGGGCGTGGACGTGTATTGCTTATGCTCCATCTTGTACCGCTACCGCGATTCGCGATAGCGAAGGACTAGAACTGCTCGATGTATGTATGTAGTAACTGCCGAACTCTTGAATCGTACTGGTATCGTATCTCGTACGGTCTTCTACGGCTACGATAACACCCGCGTCATCCCAACCACGCACAGACGCCCGCTCCACCGAACTCGAAAGGCTAAATGCATATTAGGCGCCCATAGATGGCCACTTCCTCGCTACAGCAACGTTGCCGCTGCGTTTCATCTCTTGCCCTCATCTCCTGCCACGATCCTCCTCCACTGCGCTCGTGCCACTGCTCATAGTAATATCTGCGCACACTAAAGACCCGAAGCAGAAGAAAGATGTCGACGTCTACTGTGGACACCCGATCGCGCAGCTCGTCGTCTATGCCGAGTACGCCGTCGAGCACGACGACCGATACGACGGATAATACGCCTATCATCCGTGCGTCCCCTCCCCCTCTCCTTCCCCATCCCTCTACATCCGTTCTGATCACAACTTCATACGTAGCCCCCGCCGCGCCGCTCGACCCGCAACGCGCGCCCAACAAAGCCGAATTCCTCGCCATCCAAAGCGGGCTCAAGCGCCGTCCTCCACCGAGCGCGAGCGCGAGCTTGCATACGAGCACCTACAGTGTCGCCACGACTGCTACGGCTGGCGCGACTAGTGGTGAGGGCACCGACGACGGTATCTCAGAAGACGGTACGCCCGCTTCAGCCTGTAATCAACTGCATTTCGGTCCTCTCCTGATGTTGTTGGATGCAGGAAGCGCCTCGGTGGACTCGCATGGCGTATCCCGTACCCCAGCGTCCCCGAACGGACCACAGCAGAGCCGGTTGAGACGACAGCTGTACGGATTGCAGGGACCTGGAAGTCCGGAGGGGAGTACGTTTGCGCTGCCGTATGGCGCTAGCAGGAACGGATCGGCCGAGACGTTCGCTACTGTCAACTCCGGTATGTCTGGCTACGATGTACTCATGAGGTGGCATAAGGATGCTTATAGACATTGGGTAGACGATGTGCGGAGGGGCGGGTACAGCAATGCGGGGGACGAGCCGGACTTTGATATGCTTGAGGACCCGCGATCTTGAGCGAAGGATAGTATGAAGGTTGATCTTGATGGAACTGAAATGAACCTCGCGCGCGCGATGTACGATATATGAAATGTATCTTCTTGTACTGAGTTGTAGACTGAACACGACGATCTGCGATCTTGTCGCCGCTTTTCACCTCGGACATCCTGGATGTGTTTTATTCTGACGGCCAAGGCCAGGGCTACACCTCTAATCTCTTCGACGCGGTAAGGAAAGTACGTTCTCGACCGCGGTCGCAACCGATCCTTAGTGTGCGATCGCATACATTCCCTACTTCCTGTACTGTTCCTGTCACTGTACCCTGCGTCTGACAGAGAAGCCCGCGTCTATTCCGCATATACCGATTTGGACATCCCACAACCATACATAGCCACAACGGCCTTCGCCTCGATATATCGCGCCCTCAATGCCCGGGCACTCGCATTGCCTGCCCGACCGGCCGTGAAGCCGTCTACCCTCGTGGTCTCTCGGTGTGAGCGATGACAATGTACCTTGGCCGTCGTCGCGAACCGCGTTAGCGGACTCGAGATCTCGACCCGCGAGCAGGCTGGAGCGCCGACACAATGAGAGTCTGGCTGCTGAGGGCACCGGGCATCCTTGGGCGCAGGGCCCAATATACTGGGAACATTTGCCGCAGTGTGCTCTCAAGGTGGCGTAAAAGGACGCGTAGGCGCCCGGGCGCGGAGCGCGCGCGCTTACATCGAGCGCCCAGGAACTGGATAGACGCCGTGGGCAAATGGACACTGACCACACGAGACCCATGAATCTAGCAAAATAAGTAGAATAATCATACATCCCATCCTATCCCACACAGTCCGTCCATATCTCATGCCCGTCTTCACCTCCCCACAAACCGTCCAACGCCCTCATTAACCCTCTCCCGCACACCCCTAACCCCCTCCAACACGCCCTCCCTCACCCCCAGCGCCCCATCAACGCCCCGCCTCAATC